ATAGGGCATTTCGGCAGGGTCCTACGTACGATGAGCAGCAGGTCGACATTTCAAGGTTAACCAGAGAAAGGTATGCGGTGCGGTGGCTTCATACGTACCCCTTTCTCTTTTGGACCTCACAACGTGAATTTCTTCTTGTGGTCAGGCCTTCATTATATCGCGCTGGAACATAAGGAAGACAAAGGCTTATTTTCAAATATCTTAATTTGTCTCCTTTTTATTGAACTTATCAATTGGAGGTTTTAGGAATTTTAATGATTGTTTGTAAATATCAGTGTTGATTAAACGAAACTTAGGAGTTGCTCAAGCAGAAATTTGATTTCTAAGCTTGGAAATGAGCGCGAGTGCCACAAGCGGCGGTGCGCGAGTGCTATAAGGAATGCAGGTCTTATTCTAATAACATTCATATTCTCGTTATCAAATCTTTAGTTATATTATTTTTGGCAGTGTAATCGAGGTTCGCTACTCAATGTCTGATCTTTCGATATGACTTTATCTTCCATTAAAGAAATGCTATATGCCTGTGAAAGTTTCATGAAACGGTGATAAAATATGTACGGAATTGATCAGAGTACTAAAATCGTGCAAGAAACTTAGTCATAACCTAAAATTATTGACTACCGCGCTGCAGAGGTAATGGATGGATATATATAAAAATGTTGTTTTAATTTGTTTTATATAAATTTCGGCAATATTTCCGATCTGTCACCACTTCAGCATTTCTGCTATAGAATTCTCTTTATTATGCACTTCTACAGGTCGTCATGATCTGAGAAATATTATTGCTGCTGAATATTTTGCCTGACATTCAGTTCAAATTTATCATCGTTTTACTGTAGTACATAAGAATTCTATCCAAGGACAATGACTTTATTGATCTAAACTTCATTGATACTGATTCGATTTTTCACGTATTTTCGCTCACAGATATCTCTCAAAGATCGGATTAAAACGTCTTGAGTTCGTAAACTTCAATACGTAAAGTCATTATTATCTAGTCTTATATTTCTAGTTACCATAGATAACTTGTCCTTAACGGAATTTATTCTGAATCGCTCCAGAAAGTTTTGTGACTTTTGCCGTTCAGCAATAAGTTTTGCAGTTAAATTCTTCCTACTTTCCATGCCTGCCTCTTGCATGGCAATACATTTTAATTTCGGACATGAATGCTAATAACGGTATTTAAATTTGTGGAGACCATATGCTCTATGGAGGCGTGAAAAAGATCAGTATGTTCAGTAAAGGCTACTGTAGGTAATCATTAGGTTTCTAAAAAAGAAATCTATGTCACCGAGGAAAGGCTGCAGTTTCTCGTTTCTTTCATCGAAAAGGTCGCAACAGTTGGAACTCCATACGCACTTGTGGACTCAAGCCTTTACTGGCTGTTGTGATAGACAGACACAACTTTGCTTCATGGTTGATTTGATAGACCGATGATAGACTGATGATAGATAGACCGAACTTAGTTTCATGGTTGATTTCTTGTTGTCTTAAGGCCTGGTAAAAAATCATCTCAAACTGTGGCTCAGACGTGAATTTCATCCAAACCTTTTTTTTTTTGTACTTTATCGTTCAGGGATTTAATGTTGACTAAATAATTATGAGTTGCAGTTACACTGCTCTGGTTTGCTCTTCAAATTTGAGTAATCGAATAGTTTCTCGTAAAAGTCGCTGAAGAGTAAATTCATATGTGAAATCAATGAATAAAGATTTTCAAAGAAGATATATATTTACCTTCCTAAAGGCTAAAAAATTCAGGGGTAAGGATTTACCGTCATAGCAGGAAGTGAAGTGAAAATCTGTCATGCGGCGTTACTCATCGAATTTGCCCCAACGGCAGAAATAATCAACTAATTCAGCTAGAATTAGTCATCTTCAGCTAGAAATCTCCGAAAGCATCTTCTGTGAGATCTAGGAAATTAATTTCTTTTTAAATACGGTAAGAATCCCTTCGGAGACGTCTGAATAAAATTTTATTTTAATATAAACATTCAGTTGGTCTCGGATTATTTGCGGATTCGCTGGACTCGGCTACTCGGATCCCAAGAGCCTCACGACGCAAGGAGGATGTTCGATACACTCGAACTTGTCTGGGGCCTTAGCGCGATGCAGCGAGACTCACCTTGATCGTACAGACTTGTCTCGCTCACACGGTATACGCTAACCCTTATTTTCCATGCCTATATTCTATATAGATTTCGTCTTTGAAGTGTGTTCCTTTGAAATGTAAATTATCTTAACAATCAAAATCGGAATATTTTTCATCTGTGGTAGCAATTGGTTGTTTTTTTATTGCTTTGGAATTGGTCAAAAAATCGCAACGGTGCTACGCCCGCTTTGAACTCTTGTTGAGTTGTTTCTTGTTATTAACTTCTTATCTGTACTTGCTTGCGATCGCACTCGAAAATTACTTCATTATTTGTAAACTTTTCCTCGTTTGCCAAGAAGATATGCGATTCGCATAGCCCGTAAAATTCTTACATCCAATCTGGAGAATGTTTCAGTGGTTAATATGAAATCATTTATCCATAAGTCTAGTACCTTATATTACTTAAATTTGCCGAGATGCGGAGTTGCATGCGAGTGCTTTTAAATGCCCTCGCTCAATTTAAGCCAAGCTGTTGCCTTCTAATTTAAGGTGATTTTAATGCAGCTCGCGTAATGATCTCAGAAAGCACTTGTCAGGTGCCCATGTGGCTTCAAACACCTCTTGATTTTCGATTATTCCGGTCACGTTAGCGTGACATGGGTTTTTCTTTTATTACGTTTGAAGTAGCAGGAGCTCGAAACAACCTTTCTTTTATAAACCTAAATACTAATTGAACATTTTAATGATAAAGCCTTTTATCGATATTTTGAAAAACAAGGTTTTCACCATGCCAATTGGTTATGGCTTTAGTATACTTTCATTTTTACTCATATCGATTTTGTAAACATTTCGTTCTCTGCTTTCTTACTATTTATTATTTTTATTCGGATATTGTGTTAAATGAGTTTCACAGTTTTTTACAGAAATATGGCGGAACTATTTTGACACCATTATGTAATATTATGAAATTTTTGAACTGGTGGAGTTTCTTAAATTTTAATACTGTCATTTTCCGTCAAATTTCTAAGTCTGGCCTTCTCTGTAGCTCATTTAAAAATTATTTAAAAAATTATTCTAGTATTATACATACATAGTATCAATTAATAAGATTCAGGAATCGATATTTCGCATTTTATCCTCCATATTTTCAATCTCTCCTCAAATCTAAACCCACCAACCATCACAAATTCCTAAACTCAGACCTTTCCGCCTCATTTACGACAGAATTTCGCTCGCTTACGTTGACATAATGACAACGATTACGTCTTATGACCGTTACGTGACCCACTGCTCGTAACCGTGATACGGACCTACATGTCTAACTTCCGCCCCTTCTGCTTAACCTTTGATGCGTCGTCCAGACGTTCCACAATGACTCTTCTTCCCGTAGCGACGTTCTCAGGAAACGCCAGATTTTATGTTAATTGTCAAGAGATTAATGCAATCGGCGATGCCGTTGATGAGCAGATGTGCGACGGGTTATTATAGAGAGACCGTCATGAGAGCTGGTATAAATGACTTTCAAACGAATAAAATGGAGTTCTACTTTTGTTGTAACTTTATTTTATTTGTGTTTTTTCCTTTTTCTTTTTAACCATTTCGTCGCAGATTCCTCTTATATATATATTATCCTCCGTTTCAAATGTTCATTCTTTATAGATGATAGACTAAAAATGCTGACGAATTGAGCCATGGCTCTAATACACATTTCATATAAGTAAGGTCTCATTTCAACAAGATTATTTGCTATTGTTTGTTTAATATCAACGTATATTCTTCAGTTATTCGACTAACAGCAGCTCCCCACATCAGCGGTTAGTTCCATTAGTTTGATTTGTTATTAGTGGTTTTACTTGCATTGTATTTCTTAGAATAATGTAACACTAAATTTTTAATCGCTCGCTGCTCCAAGGCGCGTTTTGTATCTATTGTTGCAGTCCTGTTTATTTTGCGTAAGGTCTAACTTGGTACGTGACTGTGTACAAAGAATGGGCGTGGTAGACATATTGCAATATTACAGGTCTTATTTCCATGAATTTTACGATCTAAGTTTACGTATGTGTTCTAGCCTTTGCAAGCGTTTCACGAGCGTGATCTTTTGATAACATCGCTGTAAATCTACAGCAAAAAGTCTGTCTCGATACTTTCAAGAAAATAATTATTATTCGTTACATATGACTTGTATGCGGTTTAATATTTGTGATATATTTTGATCCGAAATGTTAAATTACGGTCTGCCCTTGATAAAAAATGTTAAGGCAAATCGAGGTTCACATGTGACACGCGTGTGTTTCCGTGGTAATGGTGTGAAGCCGATTGTATGGATTAGAATATACTTTATCTGTGATTGATGCAGATTTATTTTCTTACTCGTAATATGAATGTCTAAGTAAGTTAATGAACGTATTACTGAGTGGCTGAGAGCACTTGTGTTCAGAATAGAATAGTATGTGGTGTTTGTTCATTGACTCACCATCGTCAAATTATTCATCATAGTATCGACTGCTTTTCCTTATCAAAAATAAATTCATGTTCGTAATTAACGCCAACGTATCGCTTGTTTATGTGCTGCTCAACAAAGAACGCTGTGGGTTTCAAATATAGAGCGTGAAACCACCGGAGTCAAGTACGTTGTCAGATTTAAATACTGAGAAGCAATCTTAATCAAAACTCATTTCAAGATGATGGATGACAGCCGTTGATGTTACGTTGAAATACTGCCACCTGTCACGCCATAGATAACCAATGCAGTGAAGGTTACTATAGGTTGATAGTTGTGGAGCTAAAAAACATTCTTCATATTGTGCATAATTTTTACATCCCATTACGAATATTCAATCGTATTTTAATGATTAAGTGATGAACGCTTGATTAATGGTTTCTTTTTTCATCTTTTTCAGATCGGAGTCTCCTGCTATACTGATCCTCTATGAATAGATGCGCATCTGAAACAACCTTCACAGAAATCTAATTGAACGAAAATTTATCACCGCGGCTGTTGCTACAACCCTGCTTTCACATTTAATTTTCCTCATTTTATTTTTCTGAATCATCTCAAGAAATCTCTCATTTTTAACAAATGACACAGAAATTTTCCAGAGATGAAAAAATCAAAGAAAAAATTTGTGCGACTCTTCTGCAAATCGTTCGAAGTGTTTTCCTTCATTGAATTGTTCTGGAACTTCTTCACTTCTACATGAATCTGTGAATTTAATTTTTCATTCACGAGTTTGTAAAAATCTGATGAAACTGCCACAATCTGTTATTCATAATCGGCTTTAAACGATTCATGAAATTATCACTATCATACTATAGCAACGTTGTTTTTATAATATTATGTCACTGTACCGTACATTTGATTGGTAAATAACAATTATTTTCTCTTCAGACCTATCGTAGGTACTCCGATTCACACCATACTTTAAAGATACTTCACTAAGCTCTCATTTCGCTTTCTCTACACTCAAAATTTCGCCGACAAAACTTCACTATATTCACTGTTATAATTAATATCATTTTAGCACCAAACAAAACCAATCAACCATGGGGAATCAGAGCAGTCGCAATAACCATCACCATCCTCCACCATCGGCGTGGACCCAGAGCTTCCCTCGGGAGACGCGCAGGCTGCAGAAGATGGGAGTCACCAACGAAAATAGAGTGAGTGCTTTGCATGATTTCTTTCAACACAGTAATAATGACGCATTCATGTTCAAAAACTTTTAGTGTTGGATTTTCTGTAAATTATGAATAAAAAATAAAAAATCGTCAGTCTGTTTATAAACTCATAGACTGAGCGATCTTTGATTAACCATGTAGACTGCTTGATGGTTGTTAATTATTAAACAAGCAATAGATCCTGTAAGATTAAGGTCCAATCGATTATTTTGCTACATCATCGATATCATGTACGGTATTTATTCGAATCAAGTACGTAATTCTTGCCATTGGTTTCTACGATAACTTTCACCCTATTTTTCAGGCTCAATTTACACATTTCTTTCTCGACCTTCATGCAATCGATTCTACTATTTGAGACTACTGCACTATTCAAGAATTTTCGAAACAGTCCTTCCACTTCATAAATAAAAAAAGTTAAGCTCATCATCCAATATAAATTTGTATCTTGACGCTTTTCAAGGGTATGGTTTCTCGTTCATTTTGCAATAAAGTGATCGATTTTGATATTTCATTAACATTCAATGAGGCGGTGAAGTTGTAGGAATATTGATTATAATGAAATGTATCAATAAATTGGGTTAATAGGCTCAGCAGCCATTGCTCTGTTGAATAATGCGTTCCTGCGAAGCATCAAACTACTAAGCATAAAGTTGTATTCAATATATTTCATTGATACATTTTTTCTTTTCTTTACATCGAAAATCTGTAGGTACATATGCTTTTATTTAAGAAATTATGTGCTGCGGCCTACGTGATCTCTTTTACAATGTTTGACTCTGGAATCGGTTTGATAGATATCTTGTATACAAATATCATTTTGCCCGCAAGTTATATGTAAGAGTTAATGATCACCGGAAGTTCGTCAGTAGGTATAAGCAAGCTGTTTGAATCCCCAATTCTCATAAGAACTTATCCATAGATATTGAAAATTTTCAGACGCATCGACCTCCCTCTCACGTACGCCTTAGGAAATCAATCGTGGAAACCACTGGTCGGTTCTGGACGAAATAAAAAACCAGACGGTCAAAATTTTTTAGCGGGCCAAACGGTTATTCTGATCGTTCTTTTCCTTTGCAAATCGACCGATAATTCTTCCTGGCAACTGTCACATATCCACCTACGTATGTACAGAACGTACTGGTCACTAGCTCCACGTTTTCTTCAGTCCGACTCGTCAATTGACCCAGTTTTTTTGCGAGTTGCATTAATGTGGCTATTCAGTTCAAGTACCGTAGCTAGTGATTTTAATTAATATGAAGTCACCATGTGCAAAAATGCTGCCAACGCATTATTTGGATATTCGTGATTTTCTATTACTTCATAGTTACATCATTCTCGCCTCAAAACGCCATCTACGTTAATGCACGCGATGTTTTTAATTTTCTAGAGCCCAAGTTGAGGTCAAACATTGGCAAAGCAAACATCGATATTGTGTTATTTTGGCATTCAAACGACGCTGTGTTTCTTCAATTTATTATCCAGGAGTTGAACTCCGTATGAGCATTCGATATCGTTTTGCAGTTATACATACATCAACAAACGCTATTAATGCATTCATTATTTATTTATTTTATTATCGTTCTGAGACCACAAGTTTTGTAATTCACAATGCTTTAAGGTGCGTTATCAAAAAGTTATCTTTTCAGAAATTATTATTTGTTACTTCCTCATTCAAACTGATTAAATACTAACAGTTCTAAACGCTACACTGAATACCTTTTGCAGATAAAATAATAATAAAAATAACTCGAGATTGCAGTAGCAATAAGCCTAAATTTAAAGCCCATTTCACCTTATGCTCAAGTTGCGCACTCGTAGTATAGATGCCAAATTTTACTACACTTTTATCTTGCTGAAAAAATACAATGGTGGTGTGATGAAATTAGATTTAATCGTACGTTGTTTCTATTCAACTTCTGATACCTCATGATATTGTCATTATTTGGAGAGCGAATCCTCCGTGCAATTCTGAAGCCTTCAAATATCACTTCAAAACGCTTCTTTTCCTTTGGTTTTCTCGTCCCGAGTTATTGGAGTTTTACCACGTCGCTTCACGCGTATCTTCATATAATAGCTTAGTTCCACAATGAGTAAGTAATTGTTCTTGGTTTGAGCGACATGCTATCGATTGTGTTGAGCGTTCTTCCCACGCTGCAGTGCGGTAGTGTGCTGAGCACCGCACGTTCCTTGGCCTCACAGAGTTGCACTCTCTGAGCGACAGGATATTGTGAAACACTCGCACTTGCGTGAAGCTACTTGTGAAACGGCAGCACGAGCTTGGCCTTTGACATGAATCGAGCCGTTAAAAGAACGGATAATTTTCAGAATTACAAAATTTGTGAACCGAGTTTCAGACATAAGGCGATTTATTTTGTGATTTTTTTTTACTTAAGAACAAAAGCGTTGAAGATACTTTTGATTTGTAGGGTGGAGCTGCTTTGTCCTGAGCTTAACTCTCAGAGCGCTAATATTCTCACTTAAACTTCCCCAAATTAATTACTTTCCTGCTACGTGCAATAATAATATCTTATTTGCCTACCTTTGAAATCCCTCTTTTTATGTCATTCGGCATCTTTATTGAACTCTTATTAATTTAGTACCAAGTCTTTAATTTCCCTCGATTGTCAACTTCTATTGAAGTCCTGCGCCCCCGTGACTCCTGCGGTCTGCGGTGCGCTGTTAGTAGGACGTCCGATGTTGCATTGGCCACGCGACCGGACCAAGTGGCGCGGTGCCCTCATTTCCGATTCCTTTTTATTTCTTCATGAATAATTTGTCGGAATGAATTAAGACGGATGATAAATAAGAACCGAGACTTCGGCCAACTCTTTTGTCAATCTTCTTTCAATTTAAACTTATTAAGATATTGATGCAAAGTAATTAAGTCCATTATATGTAAGAAAAAATTTTGTCTGCACCTTCACGAGAAATCTAACTTATATGTAAAATTTGTTCATCAATTGATACGGGTCCTACCCGAGTCGTTCCTCTTACTGACACTTGCAGACCATACTGGCCATACTTTCTTGTGTGAAGAAACTTTCGACTGTTATCACTACGACTAAAAAATGAGTGATGCATTCATCGCTTGTGCTGGAAAAGTCGGATCAAGTTATCTTACGTAATTTATTGATTCTTCTTACATGTATTCTCTTCCGTTTCTATTTACAGTATATTTCCCTAAGCGCGTTTCATCACTGCATTTTTTCATCACCCGGGTATATTTTGTGATTCATATTTTTTTATTGCTTATTACATTTTTAAATGTCTTGTTACACTCATTATATTTTCAATTATTTGTTGTTTTTCAAGGTTCTACCCGAGCGTGTTCCGGTACAACGTCTTCGTCCCACCGAGAACGGTCGCAGCCTACACGTCGCCGGCACGATAACTGGTCGCCGAGCCACCAACACGATCGAACCTCACCCTCTTCAACCCAGTCCCATGGGACACCAGTCTTTGCCCGGCTATGTGTCACCCATGTCAACACCTTGCCGTGCACACCCCAATGGGCCATCTCCATCCATGATGCACTCCAACTCCCTAACGCACCTACACCAGCCTTGTGCCATACATCCTTCACCTCGACTAGACCCAAGCAGAGGCGGATCTATGCATGACCTAAGATTCGGCTACCCTCCGTCTAAAGTTTACACTAGTGAGCCAGATCTGCGAGCAGGCAGCCACCCAGTGGCCATGCCAGTCCCTCATTCCCCTCATACAATTGTTAGTCAAAGTCCCACCAAAGGGAGAATCAAATCGAAGAAGCGCAATCGGGCTCCTCCGCCACCTGGTAGCGGTGCTTTGTCGGACGGGTATGTGCACGATAATGGGCGCGCTGGCTCTGAAGTGCAGAGGGCCGTGCATTGGGGTACATCGGACACTCATTCACGACCACCTTCTCAAGTATCCAGCAGTAGAAGCAAGAGTAGAAAAATTGGTTTATTCAAGAAGAAGAGCGATGGGAGGAAGTCCGATAACGAATCGTACTTCACTGACGATCAATGCAAATCTAGGTACAATCGAAGTACCTCCTCAGATGTTTCCAAACAAGAAAAGCGAGAAAGAGCTCGGAGTGTGGACTGTCTTCAGCATGAACTACGAAACTCAGTATCAGACCCCAAAGGCGAAGCATCTATGCAAGGGTTTAGTAGCGACGAAACGAGTTCTTCGTCACGAGAAAAGGAAATTCGACCGAGAAGTCAGACGATTGAAAGAGATTCTAGGCGCACTGCACGAGAAAATAGTGTAGAAAGACGTATTAGCACCACAATGGAGCGCAACCCTCGTTACCAATCCCGAGAGAGCCAGAGCAGAATAGACGATCCAAGATCAAAAACAAAACTGGAAGGAAGACGTAGTCATGATTTACAGTACAGCAGGCAGTTTGTTGGACCATACGATCATCAAAAGATCTCTCGAGATCTTGAGAGGAGAGCTTCTTATAGCGTTGCTCGTGTAGATAAACCTATCGATAAAGCATTCGAAGAGTGGGACAAAGCTGAACGGGATGAATTGCGACGAAAGAGGATCTCTGACACGATGAAAAACGAAATTCTATCCGTTGGGAAAAATTTGAAAAAATCATCTCCTGACATTTTGGCCAGCAATGTCGGGAGTTTTGACGATTCTCAGAAAAAATCGTCTGAGAAAGAAAGGAAGACTTCTGTAACAGAGAATAATAATGTCCAAGATAAAGAAACTCCAAAAATGTTCTTCTTTGGAATGAAACCTTCAGGCGACGGTGAGGATGTTTCCAATACCAGATCTCCTGCAACTAGAATTATTGAAACGGAGCAAGTTCGTATAGAAGGAAACGCTGTAGAGTTTTCAAAGCGCAATGCTGAAGTCATTGAACGTAGTAGAAGTCGAAGCAAAATTCGGAATTCTGACGCTGCCGAAGGTAAATGTGGAGTTGAAGATAATCGAAGGATAGCGAATGATGTTGATGACTTTGCTGTTGCAGTAGAACGAAGAAGCCGCAACAATTTCGTCGAAGATAATATGCTCAATAATTCGTTGAGACGTGAAGATGGAGGATATCACTCACGCCAAAATTCCGGTAGTTTTCATTTGGAAAACGAAAACCAATCCGATGAAGACATGGGGGTGACTGTAAATTTGAGGCCTATTTTACCCAAGAGACAGCGAGAAATACCCCGTTTCAGTCCCAACGCTGCCTGGAGGTTCTTAGGTGAAGAGCCTTTCTTACCAGGCGAGAATCTCAACGAGAGCCGCAGTAGCGAAGAAGTGGACGCTGTGTTTGAAGACAAAATTCTAGGCTTTTCAAGGCCAGTGGCTCCCCCTAGGGGGTCTGGTGAAAAATCCGCCGACTCAGGCATTTCTGGTGACGCAGGAAGTCCTGGTCCCATGCAAGAGTTCGAAGCAATCAAAATAGTGGCAGGTCCTCTGGCGGTTTCTTCGCCCGTCGTATCGGGTCGCTCAGATGCACGGCGTGCTTGGACTCCCGCTCAGGATTTGGATGAGAACAGCCTGGACGGCAGCGGAGAACCTGCAGTTAACGGAGTAACCCAAAATAATAGACTGAGTACTCCACCTAAGCTAACCTCAAGAGCTAACATGTTTAATTTATTTGGGCTCAAAGAATACCGAGCCAACAATGGCTTCCTAAACTCAGACGAAGAAGAGAAAGCTATGAATCAATCCAAGACGAGCACCACTATGGACGAAAGCACTCAAACTGTCTTGAACTTCCGTAAATTGAAACGATCTGTGTCCGGTAGTGCAAATAATACACCCAATTCATTGAATTTCTCTCCAAATGCTCGAAAAATCCCGGAAGACAATGGGCCGAAATCTGAAGATCATCCAGTACAAAATGACAAGTGGAGAGAAAATTGGTCTATGACGCGATCAATTCCTAATTCTTTGAACAACTACAAAGAATCTGACTGTCTCGTGAGGCGAGATGGTCGTCCAGGAGAAGATCCACAAAACCTTCAGTATCGGAGATTTAACAGCGAGAGTAACGCTGCTCTGTCCCGACAAAGCTCTTCATCCCACCTTCAGAGTAATCAATCTACGGGACACATCATGTACTTGCCGGAGTACAACTCTTTGAAGGTGTCGAACGACGAATCTGCAGGGCGAGAAATTCGAAGTCGCGATTTGAATTCCTCGAAGCATCTTTTTAAGTCGAACGCTAGTGAAAATGTGCACGATTTCAGAGGTGAAACTGAAGGAACTAATTTTTTTGTCAAATCCAAGGGCCAAATTTCAATGACAGACTTCTCACCGATTAGTCGACTTAGGAAAGGGAAGAAATTCTCGTACCAAAGTACTGTCCGTGTCCTCGAGAAGAAGATGATCGAAGAGAAGCTGAACCGAGAAATTGCTGCCAAGGAACAACAAAGACTACAAGAGGCCGCTGCCATGAAACGGGTCAGTGTAAAAATTTGTAAAATTATGAGTTTTTTATGCAGTGAGCAATTATGCGAATATGTTACGTATTCCTGATTCAAATGCGAATACAATACAATAATGCAATCTTACAATGGCCAATAAAATGTTACAACATTTCAACTCAAAAATTTTACTCATAAGTGTAAAAAACTGTGTTCCCATGTAGATTCATGAACATTTTAGTTATATTCATTGTGCCAACTGTTCATTGACAGGTTGAAGAGGAATTCCAACTGAAGAGGGAGCGGGAGAAGAAGCGTCTGCAGCAGCAATTGAAGCTTTACAAAGCCATGCAGGGCTCCGGCGATAGCGAGGATCCCTTCAGTGCTGACGGTTGGTCGATGTCCCTCTCTTCATCAATACGCATCGTTTCTCTGTTCTATTTTCAATGATTTATTCAATTTCTCACTTTCATTATTTTTTTCATTAATATGTGAAATCGTCCAGCCTATGATTGTTCAAATATAATGAGTTCCCCCTTCATGGTTCTGGCAGAGATTTGCCGCCATGTTTCACTCAACCTGCTCATGGCTCCTAATTCTTTCATAATTCCAGAGTCACCGATTAAAATAGGATCGATTTTACAAGTTGTACGATATATGCTGAGGTAATGCAGCCATACCCATGCCCATCAGTAAGTGATATCTCTAATATTTTGTCTACTCCATCAGGTTCATTCTTACGCAGTTCTTCCCTCGATTACCCAATCGATCAGCAAAAGGAAATAATGTCGGATGATGCAGATGCATTTATAAAGTCTCAAGACTATCGCAGCAGTAAGATAAATCCAGGATTCGAAGAAGAAATTCCTAACGGCTCTCACTCGTCAACCAACAGCTACATTAACGGTCATACTCGAAGTGACGTAAATAACTCATCCAAAGAAGATGACGAGCGCTTCCAAAAGGCTGCCGAGTTTCGAGGAAATATAAATTCCATAGCAGATGAATTGAAGTCTGACTCTGCTCGAGATGTTCGACAGAAAATTGTTTCACAGAGATACACTGGCAACGAGACTACTTCTTCCTCAGGTGAAAAATTATTAATACAAAATCATATATTTTTCCAGGATGGTTTATGTTTAATGAATGTATTTATGTTTTATGATTTTATCTCAAAATGCATTCAAATCCGAATATTGTATTCGAAAATGACATCATTACCATTATTTATAATTCTAAAGGTTTTAATGTTTTGTGTTTTGAAAATATGTATCATTTTCTGCATCGTAAAGTTCTTTTACTGAAAATTCCTTAACTTAAAAATCATTCCCAACATCTTGCCATGTAACGCCACTAACAAAATTTGCCACACAGTGTCTTCGGTTTCGGCGCAGTCGCGCGGGGGCGAGAGCGCTCAGTTCAGTCGCCGTCGTCCGGCACCCGAGGGCGCCCCTGCCACCCACAACGGCAGCCCCAACGCCAGGGCCGAGGCTTTGCAGGCAGCCAGGCACCGCAGCGGCATGATCACCCAGGTGGGTGTCGCTGGTACCCAGGGTATGGGTGCTGTGTCAGGCAGCCAGGCACCGCAGCGGCATGATCACCCAGGTGGGTGCGCTGGTACCCAGGGTATGGGTGCTGTGTCAGGCAGCGGCATGATCACCCAGGTGGGTGCGCTGGTACCCAGGGTGTGGGTGCTGTGTCAGGCAGCGGCATGATCACCCAGGTGGGTGTCGCTGGTACCCAGGGTACCCTGGCTACGGGTGCTGTGTCTCTGAGACCTACAAATAATCAGTGATAGAGTTTGGGAGAAGACACGTGCGTTAACTGCTACATCGACGAGAGAAATGTATTCAGTAAGTTCTCTGCATGAAAGCCGAGACAATTCATTTAGGTAGAAATGTTTGAATTATGTAACATTGACATCGTTTATCATCGGTGCTGGTCTTAATTGTAACTAATTATAATTCCTCTGTAATTTAGTCTAAACATGATTGAGAATTCACCTTCAGTTTAAAGAGTTAATTCAGAATCACGAACTCGTATTAGCAGGCAGTTCATGTTCATTGTAACCTAGCATCGTCAAAATTATAATACTAATGCTATGACCGTTTCAGGAACTCCCAGAACATCAGCAGCCGCGTCGTGAGTATCGGGAATACCGACGTTCGCAGCGACCTGCTTCCGCTCAAGGTGAGTGCCGTTTAGTCATTTATTGCAAATATATATACCGATAATTAGGAAATAAGGGCTGCTATTTATCGATAAATTTATTTATTATATTTATATATATATATATGTTAAATAAATTTTAACATATTTGCCGTTATTTTTTGACCAGCTGATGTCGCGATAGTTAAGGAAAAAAATAAAAATAAGACAATGTACATTTCAGGTTGGAAGGGAAAAGGGTAACTAATACATGTAGGTTCAAACACTTTGAACTGTTTCATGAAATTGAGCTGGAGAAGTACACAATTTGTTGTGAGCACATATCCGTATAAAATTTATCTAGTATACAGTTTTCGATTTCAGTAATTATGTGTTGTATGAATTTAAATTGGTCATAATAAATTAATACATCTCTGCATGCTTAGATAGAAAATGTTCTTATTCTTTGATGATGTTACACTTTTAATTTTTGTCTGAGAACCAAAAAATGAATCATATTTTATTTATTGTTTAAATTACTTTTCATTCAGGTGGAATCAGTGACAACTACCGAAGGGACTTCAGCAGAGGCCAGGCCCAGGTGGCGCTTGATGACCTCAGCTGCAGGTGCTTACAATTCTGTATATGCTACGTCTTTTTCGTAATTATTTAATTGAGTAAAATATTGAGGCGTATTGATATTCATCGGTCAGTTGTTAGTTTTTGATTAACAAAGGCGGTGCATCAGCGTGACCGGTGAATAGGAAGGAACTCACCATAAGGTGTTGTTACTTTCTTTATTCTTGAGTGGGTATTTGCAACTACTTTCTCGAGTGTTTGCGTTTTTTAACTGGTGTCACGATTGAGTGTAAAGTTGCCGCGATTAGCTGATGTTGAATTATTTTTTTAGTAAAGTCCTGCAATTGGCAATCATAATCTATAACCTAAATCTGACTTGTAAATTTGCCGTAGACTTTCAAGCGACGGGCGCCGCTCGCGCGATGATAGACCTTCCGCGTCGGACCTGCTAGAGACCGCCTCGTCCTGCTCCTCCGTCCCCAGGTGAGTCTCTGGACCGCCTCGTCCTGCTCCTCCGTCCCCAGGTGAGTCTCTGGACCGCCTCGTCCTGCTCCTCCGTGCCCAAGTGAGTCTCTGGACCGCCTCGTCCTGCTCCTCCGTGCCCAAGTGAGTCTCTGGACCGCCTCGTCCTGCTCCTCCGTGCCCAAGTGAGTCTCTGGACCGCCTCGTCCTGCTCCTCCGTGCCCAAGTGAGTCTCTGGACCGCCTCGTCCTGCTCCTCCGTGCCCAAGTGAGTCTCTCGACCGCCTCGTTCTGCTCCTCCGTGCCCAAGTGAGTCTCTGGACCGCCTCGTCCTGCTCCTTCGTTATTCTGGAATATCATTTAAAAATGTTTTCTTTTTCGCGCGTTGAAGTGAATTAGATAAGCATTTGTAGTTTGCTCTAATAACAATTCTAATACTAATGGTCCTCCGAAGTTAGAGATTGTAATTTTCTTGAATTTGTCAGTTTTAGAGGATATGTAGATTTTGATTAGATTTCATGCCAGAGCTTGGTTCGTTGTGGGATTATGTTTAACAACTCAACTGAGCCTTAAAAATGTAAGGTCATATCAATGTCTCATGATCGGGAATCAATTTGTTGACTCAACTTGTATCCTAGTCTATTTTTGAGTATGTTTTTTTTATTTATAGAAGAATTTATTGATTGATCAGCCACATACTCATTATCATTTTAATGCTGGTATCTAGTATCTATCAATCGTTAGCTTAGTTTCCGACATGCTTCAATATTCCTCCATTTCTTGCTACAAAGCTTACGCAAAATCAACAATTTTCAAGATAAATTCGTATTATACAATTTGTAAGATAAATTTGTATCATACAATTTGTAAGATAAATTCGTATTATGCAATTTGTAAGATAAATTTGTATTATACAATTTTTAAGATAAATTTATATTATACAATTTTTAAGATAAATTTATATTATACAATTTGTAAGATAAATTCGTATTATACAATTTGTAAGCTAAATTTATATCATAGGTATCCTGGAGGCCGCCAGCCCGTCGTAGTGAAGACCCACATTATACGCACCCCAGCAGGAGCAGGAGGAGGCAACCACAAGACGCACGTCACCAAATATTACGAACACCCGCCCGCTGTCGGCAACATGGCTAGGCCGTCTTCTCCGTACCAGGTCAGCTTCCAATGTTTATTTTCATATCCAGTAAATAATAGTGAATATTGTGCAAAGAACCTCATGAAAGTGAGGTATTATATTTGGGACTATTTGTATCTTTCTCACCATTAGTTTGTCTGATGGTTTTTAGTCTAATGGTTTTAGTTTGATCTAATCGGGTAATTTACTCAAGCTCGGTCGAACAACAGCTGTGTCGTGTTTGCAATTATGGTAGTTTATCTATCAAATATCTAATGCAGAAATAATAAATCGGACTTTATTTTTATATAGAGTTTCAACAATTTTTCAAGTTTTCTAAAAACTTCCTTTTCAATTACACTTAGGCGTCGAATAATGATTCTGGATAAAAAAGACACGATCGCAGTTCTGAAATAAAAATCCATATATTCTAACGTTTCGGCTATCTACACTTTAGCCATCATCAGAGTAAATAAGATGATAATCTGGAAAGAATAGAAATTCAGATAAGAATACAGTAAATATCAGATCAGATTTTATCTGTACAAGTTGAGGAAATTTGACATCTCTTGGTATTTTACATTGATGAACGGATTATTTTGTCTAATAGCTATTGCCTCCGCTATTCTAAGGTCTAATACTTCAGGAAAAGAATGAATTACAGAGAAACAGTCGGATATGTTGTTGGGAACAGGGCTGTTATGGTCTTCAACGAAGTGCTTGTGGATACTGCTGCTACTATAACGGTGCTGTTTACTTCTTCGTTCCAAAGTACAAGTGGTGTATCCGAGATATGAGGCATTACAGCCATCAATGGGGCACACGAAACGATACACAACACGAGCCCTTGTGGAACTGGTTTTCCGGGGTCTTGTAGAGAATGCAGATGAAAGTTTAATTGGTCTGTAGAATCCAGTTACGGAGACTGATTTGTGATCATCTGTGGACTTGACATGATCTTTTACAATATTACGCAGTAATTTCTGGTCTTGCTTGAAAGTCGAAAGGTTGGTAAATTCTACAAAATAATTTATTTCTGATTTATCCATGTCGTCGCTACTAGTTGATTGATACTTTGCGAGGGCATTATTGACGGTTCGTTCCACTATGGCTTGGGGATAGTTACAGTTAGCAAAAACTTGTTTAATTCTCTGAATTTCCGAATGAAACGATGGCCAGTCGGATGAATATTTCAATGCCCTATTGACAAGTGTTTTCACGACCGACTTTTTATAGTTTAGAGGTGAACAGGATTGGAAACTGGAGTAGATACCCTTGTCAGTAGGTTTGATGTAGACTGCTGTGGATAGGTTTCCATTGTCTTGAATACTGAAATTGATATCCAAGAAATGGAATTGGTTGTTGGACGGTGCTTCGTGGGTAAATTTGAGAACAGAGTTGCGGTGCAGGCGTATTTTGAACCAATTCAGATGAGACTTGTTTTCAAAGATGGCTATTATATCATCCACATAACGTCTGTAAAATAGCGGGTTGGAGGCTTTATTTTCATTTAGTAATTTAGTTTCCAAATTGGACATATAAAAGTCTGCAAAGGTTGGGCCGAGTGGGGATCCACTCGGCCCAACGCCTAAGTGTAATTGAAAAGGAAGTTTTTAGAAAACTTGAAAAATTGTTGAAACTCTATATAAATATCTAATGGTGAAGTGATCGAGTAAGTGAATGAAGTCCAAAAAAATTCTAGGGATCTCACTACTGAAATATAATTTGTAGAATAATATATTAATATAATACCTAGTAAAATTGATAGCTAAACGAGATCAAAACAGTGTTAATATGTTGAACACGACGACGAATGCAATCCTATATCACACATCAATATTAAGATAAGTTATCTTCTCATTATTTTCCCAAGGTCATGTGCATGAATGATTTATGTCAAACCTGAAAGATGAAAGTTAATATTCGTTGCAAGAAAGTTCATATTCACTTTTCATTATTGTACATGATATAGAGTGACGAATGGACCCATAAAAATTGAATGGATCTGTCAATAGCAGATCCATAAACTAATTCATTCTATGAATATCTGAAAAAAAAATAAAAGGATTATTTAATTGCAATATCTTGAATTTTGATCACCAAAACTGAGGAGAAACCTTGTTTGATGAAAAGAACAAGCCTAATCACGGTTCGTAAGGACCTAATTACTAGAATGACCCACAATCGGACACCAAAGCAATTCTGAATTAAGGAACTAATGCATTCGGTTTTACTTGCAGTTTCCAAGCGAAGCGTACAACCGCCACGTGGTTCAACCGTACAGATCGGCTAGGATCTCGCCAACCCCCAACAACAAACTCTTGAGGACTTAGACACGTCGATAAATTTTTGCTCAAATTCTTAGTGTTTTCTAGATGCAATATTTCAAATCTGAATTTTTCTCCATAAGTGTTTGCTGAAGAGATGACGGATAGGTTGAAAGAGGGAAATTCTGTTTTAATGTTCATAGATTATCGATGGTATAAAATTTTCTTCCATAAAAATTAATCGACGGAAATTTGCGAAAGACGGATTTGTACCACTCCTTGTTCAATTAAATCCATAAACAGAAATCCATGTTACTTTTGAACAAGTTGTGCTGCAAGTCACTACGTCGTTATGTAACGATTGAATTTATAACATTGACCAATTATTTTTATACACAACCAGTTGCTCAATCTTTTGCTTGAAAGGAAGAAATAGCTTATTATTTGTTGGAAGCCTACATTTAATGTTTCAAATTTTTCTCTGTAAATCAACTTAGCAATAATGCTCTCAGGAAGTATGAACTCTTTAATTTAACTTTTTCTCCTACCTTAAATGTTTCAAAGAAATACTTAAATGTAGTGTAAATGTAGCTTCTGAATATACCTTTACGATCGCCTTGCCGTGTGTTAGCTCGAGTGGAATAGTTTCAAATTTATTTGTCTTTCCTATCAGTGAAGTGCTTGATTAAAATGTAGAAAATGAATTCGTTAGGTCAGTCAGAATATTTTTACATTTGTTCTGTAAAAAGTGACTGAAATAAAATTACTTGAAGTCCACGATGCTGTTGTGCTGAGGTGAATGTGCAAACGCACAACGTGCCAAACGATGTTTCTTTACCATGTTTAACACGTTTTATCGTTAATAATCGTTTTCATGCCAATCCGTTCTCGAGCTAAGCTAAAATAAATTTTACGTTTATTTTTTTAAAATTAGGAACATCGATTTTTTAACGGAGCAGTGGATAAAAAATTGAACCGATTATGAGGTTTAAACGCGCTTTAGAATTACTACTAACAATATTTTGTAAGGTGAACCTAACATCGTACATTAAGTGGTGGTAGTTCTGTTGTGTTCGCATTTCGAAATTGCTTGGCGCCTCCATCAAAAATTTATCTTACTTTAATCGTGGTGGATGATGGAAACAGTGAAGTGTGAATATTGCAGTTATTTTGCTAGCTCCCAGTCGTAGCGCATGCAAATATTCTCGACTTACCGAGGTAAAAAAAATTAAATATTTTATTCATACTTGGTCAGGAAATGATTTAAGACATCGGATCAGTGTACATTTGGTATTATTGTTGAAGTATGTAATATTATGTAAAATCAACGTTGCAATTAAACATAAAGCTGAAGATTTTTGTGTCATTTCTTTTAGTCCATGACGTGATTCTCGTAGTGAGGACACTGCAAAATAATTCAAGAACAAAGCCCGAGGTCTTATTATTATCTTCGGCGCAAGTTACAAATACGTCATTTAGCTAATTATTGCCTAACAAATAAAGATAAAAGAATTTTCAAGAGTCACTAAGACAATGAGTTCCAGTATCAGTTTCAAAATTTACTACCGTAGATAATGATTTCTTGCCAATGATGCAGCATTCCAACTTTAAATTCTTGTAAATTCCTTAAATAAGTTTATTTACCAAATGTGGCAAATAAACTTGTTATTTTCAAGATTTCGTTTAAACTTAGGACGGCAATAGACCAACTCGCTAAACTTATTCAAACTTCAATAAAAAAAAGAATCAATCATAAAATCAGTAGCAGAATTTTTAACTTATGGTTTCAAAGTATCAAAATTTCTGTTGAATTATGCCATTGCACAAATCGCACCAAGCCTGCGTTATTAACAGCTTAAACAGTATAAAATATAATGCATAACAACATTCATCGGCTTCAGAACTAGACGCCTGAACATTTATGTCAAAGCAGGAAGTCCCTTTTATGGGGGTTTGAATTTTCGACACGCCTCTTTCAGCCCACAGCTCATGAGCTCTGTTGTGCCCAACAACAATTTGATGTCGAACTATTCTTATAAAATCAGACTTCGCTCTTCATCTAATAAATGGAATACCCTAGTTCTGAATTATAGGTAAGCGTTGATTTGTCATCTCAAACTTGAGAACGGTTTTCACACTAACAGTCAGAATTTAGGTTACAATCAATGTTAAATTAGAAAATCGCCAAAAAGCAGCGCTAGGATTATTTGTCTTCCATTTCAATAATATTTTCAACCGCATGATTGTATTATCCTTAAACAAATTGCTATCCATATTCACAACATACCGATAAATAAGTATTTACAAGAGTAAACTTAATATTCAGTTGAAACCCAAACACACAAAAAAGAAAATATGAAAGAAAACTCCAAGCATGCTGTACACACCCGGAGTTACTTGTTACACCCGGAGATATCATCCGTAGAGTTACTCACCATTTTCTGATTGGAGAAATCGTTTTCTATGCCATTTCGACGGCAACTAAAATACACCAATATTAATTAAATTAACAGAGAAGCAAGAAAAAGACTGCGAATTATTATGATCGCGGCTACGGAAAGAAGATACTACGTACAAACCACACGTCTATGGTAAAGGATATTTAGAGGTAGAGTAAGGGTTACGATTGGCAAGCCTTTTCAATGCCAAATTTCGGATTTAAAAATAAATCTCATGTACCTGAACTATTAAAAAATTGTTGAAGACGCTCGGATATTTTTCAAGACTTCCCGAATGTGACATGTCGCTCCCCCAATTCCTCATTATAATGCAGAATACCTAATAATCTGAAGCTGGCGCATCCGAGAACGTGTAAAATGAGTGACGATGTTGGACAAGTCATTGAGGCGCATTAACAACAAATCGGATACCGTTAAAATTGCTAAAAAAATTCACGGTGGGCACCGAGTAGAAAAATTCATGAGAAGAATAATCAATTTAAAAGTGCAACAGTGAAAGAACATGAAATTAAATATGATCTTTCTATTGTTTATATCATAATTAAAATTAAATTACAAATTATACTACTTTTTTCCTATTGAATTACCATAACAAGATGATGAACAAAAACATCACACAAGTCGCTAAGCCAATTTTAACGTACATAAAAACAAGAAAGCTTCGAAAGCTAGTTCACTTTAGTCTGAATCGTCGGTTTTGTAGATGATCTTCATACGTTGCTTCTTAATCTGATCTTTCAACGTGCCGCTAGCGGCATTCTTCTTGTCACTTGGTGGCTTGGCCGGTTGTTTGGGAGCCGTCGATGGTTTTGGATTAGAATTATTATTAGTTCTGGACGTTGACGCGACGGGTTCTTTGGGTGGTTTTGGGTTCTTGTTGCTTGCGGTTTTCGGCGCCGCGGCACTCGCTGGAGGGTTGCTCTTCTTTGGCTTGCGAACCACGATGACCTCCTCTTGCTCGGTTTCTCCATCATCAGCATCGGTTCCTTATCAATTTCAATGCATTTCATTAGAATCGTTGGGAATTGTCGAAATTTGCGCAGAAGTCTTCTATTCTAGAATATATCAATTTAATTCCAAAACAATTTGTACTCTAAGACCAAGACGGTTCTATAGACAAAGCGGTCTTTTCATTGTTTGAGCAAGGTTCCTAAAAATTTTAAACTTGTTCTTGTCATAGCCCCAGATATATCGAATGAAATTGGTTAAGCAAGGCAATGCTTACCTGGATTTGATCCAGTCTCAGATTTCCCGTATTCTTGTAAGAAATCGAAATTTTTGTCGACGTCGTCAGCCACGTTGGTTTCAACACGCTTGCGCTGCTCGGACAAGATTCGCTTCAACTCGAAAGTGTTCACGGTCTTGTACTGAAAACATTGACAACGAAAAGACAATCAGTAATTACGATTCCGTATCGAAAAAAATTCATATATAACTTATAGAAGTGTTAAAAATTGTAATAAATAAAACTGTCGTCATAAATCGGGAACTATTTTTCCCCTTTTTACTGAAACCACCAAGTGTCAGTCCTAAATGTAATGATCATTGAATCATTATTTAAACAGGGCCTGGGAACCAAGTAGTACCTTTCGTTCGGACTTGTGACACAGATAATATCTTGTCATTATTTTTGGCAAAGACGGTTGGCGTAATTTAAGCTTTGGTTCGAGTTAGTTAAAAAAATTATCTATCCGTAGGAATCATTTTACTGAACCATGAGGTAAATGGCCACTCCAACCGGAAAATTTGTCGGCATTTTACGTTCAACTCCACAAATGTTCATCAAAAAGGGAGAAAATAACTGTTTTTCCTTTAATGCTTTAACAACAAAAATAATAAAAAATAACAACAACTTTAAAAAACTATTACTGAACAAATAGGCTCACCCCCGAGACGTTCCTCTGGATGGTGATCTGAGAGAAGAGACGGGCTCCCTCCGTGTCGCCGCAGAAGTTCTGCAGTTGCTGCTTTGAAAGCGAGAAAAGTTTCTCTCCGTCAACGCCGTCGAACTGATCGCACAGTCTGTGGTGAAACATGAGTTTTTAATTGCCAATAGTATAGCCATGGCACATAAAAATCAACGGATAAATCCTTCGTCCTATGCACAGTAGCCATGGCACATAAAAATCAACGGATCCTATGCACAGAGGATGAAATACCTGATATGCTAATAATCAAACGCTGGGAATTTTTTGAAGTAGATCTATTCAATATATTATCTACAATAAACCGAGTCTAAATACAAGTGCTGTAATATTCGTTTGCTTTTGATTCGCGTACCGTTCAGAAAAGCCCTTCTTCTTGAGCCAGTCTTGTACCTCCTGAGGAGTGGCTCGGTTGTCGATGTACACGTCAGGCGTCTTCTGTACGTCAATGTGAGGTTTGCGCTTACGGAACTCACTGAGCACCTCCTTCAGCTCATAGTTCATCAGGTCTGTCGTCTCATTGTCTGAAAAAATATAACTCAGTACTCACTGCAGTGAGTGACAGAGAGCGCATTTTCTCGTCGACGAAACTTAAGGTCACGGACGGACAGACAGACGGACGGACAGACTGACAGACAGACGGACAGACAGACAGACCGACAGACAGACAGACAGACAGACAGACAGACGGACGGACGGACGGACAGACGGACAGACAGACAGACGGACATGGCGAGCACAATAGTGCATTTTTTCCATAAATGAGAAAATGCAATAAAAAGGTTAAATTAATGTTACTACTCTTCTCTATGCAGGCTGTAACTATGAGCAATTAAACAATCTATTTCATGTTCATCACGATGAACAAACTTTGCTTGCTGGATTAAATTTCCATTTCAGACGCGAAGAATATAATCAATAACGAGAAGACGAAGCTGAGAATATTGATAACAAGATGTCGACGCTGAGAATATTGATAACAAGATGTCGACGCTGAGAATATGGATAACAAGATGTCGACGCTGAGAATATTGATAAAAAGATATCGACGCTGAGTAATCAAGAATGACACTCACTTGTTCCAAAGACTCGTTGGGAATTGGCTGGAATTTTTCTTGGCTGGCGAACAGCTACGGAGTTGCTGGGTGTGAAGTCTGGGGGAGGAGGAGGAGGGGGAGCAGGAATGGGAGTCTTGGGCTTGGAGGATTTAGAGGATTTCTTGGCAGATTTTTTATTGCGAGGAGGTGGGGGCGGAGACTCGTCCGAATCGCTGCTCGAGTACCGGTGGCCGCCTGATGAATGTACAGGAATTTATCAAATACGATTTAAATTTTAATTCAAATCGTATTTTAATTTAAATCGATTTTATTTAAATAGTCCTCTCATGTACAGAAACGCAACTTTGATGTTTTTCAACGTGGAAGCATTTGCGAAGGATTAACAAGTTTGTTAGATTGTACACATTAGATAGCAAGCTTAATTAAAAAATCAAGAAAATGTCAGGAAAACGCCAGAATAACAGGAATCAAGCATATAATCAAATTCCACGAACACAATTAGCAAATTATGACAATGTTACTGATAAAAAACAAGCCATGAATTACTTGCACGAGCACATAAAAACGAAAAAATGTTAGATACCGTCACAAAAAATATGTTACAAAATTTTCATACATTTTTAATTTCTTCTGATTTTTATAAAGCTGATGCATCATATCACTTTATTAAATTATGCGCTGTTTTCTTGACTGTTCAAAAGTCGTTCGTACATCTCGCGTATACTCACTACAGAAGCCGCTTGAACTCCAGTCAGAATCATGTTGAGAAGAACTCGCCCACAGCTGACAATAGAGCTTGTAAGCTGCCCAGGCTGTCGGGCAAACGTTTACCACGCTATTCCTCAACTTAATTGAAGCGAAAATTGATAACCTGGGCACTTAACAGAGGTGAAATTCTCATTTAACAAACACCGACAATCGGCATTTCAATGATAATGGAAAAGATTGTTCGTATTTCAAGTGATTTTGTGATAAGTAATTTTTTACAAAGGGAATTTAAAGAATGAAGTTACCTCCAAATTTGACGTGAAGGTGCTGTGGTTATTAAACTACAACGTGGTGCTTGAAGTGCTCTTGAGAGGAGTTGTGACATCCTCTATATTAACTCTATAATCTGTGACATCCATTAATCATTGTCTATACCCGATATATAGTAGAGTAAAACGCTCAGATTCAACTTTTTTTCAGTATGCGAACGAATAACAAGTAAGTTATATTACCAATTCATTTTTCCAAGAATCCGAATCTAATTAGAGCTCAATTTTTGTTATATGACTCGAGATCAGCTTCAATTTAAGTACAACCGTGCATCGCTGAAACGATTTTAAAATTCAAGTTGTGCATCATAAAAATCATAGATAAGCGTAAATATGCGCTTCAAAATGGACGCAAATTTACCCTAAATACAGTAAAAGATATAACGAAAAGATATAAGATATATCTTATATATCTTATCTTATCTTATATCTATAAGATATAACGAAATCAGCCTTGGCTCAGACGTTCTTTTGGAAGAGGGAATAAAATCCACGGATTCTAGAGAATATATTTTTCTTAAATGTCCTCTGAAAACCTTAACAGTAAATCAATCTATACTTTAAGCCTTAGAGTTCCGAAAAAAATTACGTTCATCGTGGAAATATCGAGAAGAATCAGTCGATTCCCGAAAATCAAAACTTAGCAATGCTGCTGTGAGGGTAAACAGTGTGTTTGTACAAGCTTATATCTAACAAAATAACAAAAGAATGAGGATAAGTAATTTTGATGCACACTAAATTTACGAAATTACGTTAAATAATTCAGAGGCCGTGACACAAATGAGTCGAATAACACCAAGTACATATTTTAAGTAAGATAGATTTTAGAAATTCTTGAATTTGTGCCAAGCGTCGCTAAGTTGCGGTTCCGAATTATCTTTAACGCTTATTTTAAGATACTTGAATCACAAACAGAAAATTATTCGGCAATTCATAAATTACTTAGTTTCAAAAAAAAAAAAATGAATTAAAGTTTGCGCATGAATGACCTCGAATATTTTCAACTTATGTACACTACTGCCTACCTTTTCTTAAATTCTGCTTTCCCGGTTTCTGATTAATGCGGTATGTAAAGGCAGAACAAGAGTGAAAGAAAAAAGTTAAGGTGTACCATGTACAGTGGTAGTGCTGATAACAATATTTTCAACATTGAAGCAATATGATAACGTAAGTCAAGGCATCAGTAGGAACAGCATTAAAAACTTGTTTTTCCTTATTAGGTTGGCTTTAAAACTTTTAGGTTTATCCATATCAACTGCTGGAATGATCAATTCATACCTCTTATTATTGTAATAATCAAGCGCGTTTGTAGACTCTATAATGCTCGTTTTAAATCCGAATTGTTGCTACTCTAGACATAGACTTCATAGCATATTCGTGAAGTACAATTGCAGAACGTTATTCGAAATAGTACTCGTCCCAAATTGATTGCACAAATATGCTTTCAATTGAAAAAACACCGCTTAAAGCACGTATATTTGACTGGAATGCCTCTACTGAACATTAACGGATCAAAAAACCAGTTTTAACAAATGAAAGAAGACCACAAGTATGAACAGTAAAATCAATCATTTGCATAAAACAAGCGCGGAGAAAACACAAAAAAATATATCCTGTTAGAGGACAGCTCTCAGTTAGAATACTGGAATGGATTGAACAAATTAAATTGTGAACTTACATTATCAACTTATGCATGCAAAACAAAATTCAACTATTCAGCGCCATTTTTGTAAAATTGTAAAAATTGTTCATGATAGCTGTCATCCAACAAGTCTAAGATTATACTGTACAGTGGAGATTTCTTTACAGTGAACTTCTTAATTACTCGTCAAAAATGGCTAGTAAACCCTTTCGGCCAGTCCCAAGGACTGGCTGAAATCTGAATCAATCACATTCCAATAATTATCAGTTAACGTGAACGACAAATAGAATAAAAGAGAAGATCGAATACTTTTCGTTTCGATAGAGGATCAGCTCTGAGAAACATTTGATCTGCGTTGTTCTCGACAGAAAAAGGGTTTACTCCATTTAGAGAGATATTAAGGACGCTCGTAGGGAAACATTAACAGGTCACAAATATTACATGACAACTGAGCATTCATCGCTACCCTAATCAATATTACATATTAATCATAAAACATATCAAGTTGGGAAGCATTTTCTTACAAAGCAACGAAAACACTCAAGCACAAAAATTTCAACGCCACATAAATCATATAAATCTCAAACACGGAAGGATTCAATCAGGAATTACTGTAAAAGTAAGTGACGCGATTGGTCATGATAAAAAAAACAGCGAACGATTAAATAAATTCGACACACGACACAGGCTCTTGGAGGTACCACATTAAAATTTGAGAAAGTGATCTTCAGCGCAACATCAGACAGGAGTAATTTCTAGGCAAGTGATATGATCTAATTGAGTTAGGTTCGCCTAGGGGAGTTTTTTCATGAGTTTCGAAAGTATTGAAGGGTCAGATATAGATAATCTAGCATCTCATCAATATAATATTCATGCAAGGTTTCGATTAATTTTCCATTTACTTTGATAGCGAATAAGGATTTCACCGATTGATGGCTGAGAGCCAGAGACTTCGATGCCTACGAAATGAGTTGGTTTATAAAGAAATGAAGCCAGTCTGTTGGCGCTACGGAAAATGAAAAAAAACGGGCTTTGGTTGAACAGTTTCGGTAATGCCTTCGAAAAAGTACATTGGAGAGCTCGTGAGGTATGACTTAAGCAGTGTTTGGACAAATTTTTATGATTGGCTAAAGGCAGTGACATGCCATCACTCGTGTCTCGGATTACATCTCTGAAGCGTTAGCGATATCATGTGCAACATTTGTCATCTGATTTCAAAGGAATGAAAAGTGAAATGGAATTTTTCCTCGGGATTGTAATTTTGAAACAAATTTTTTACAAAATTCATGATGATCTATTAGCATGGCGATTGCGGTTGTCGAACGCAGATCAAATAAGACTTGAGGACGAAGATCACTCTCTCTTAAATGTAACGCAGTTTACCTTTACTTTTGCGAGATAAGTCAGACGGCTGACTGCTGCTCATACCTTCCTGTAATGCGGAAAAAAATATCAAAGTGAGAATATGTTTGTTATCAAACTCCAAATTAATGTAGATGCATTACTCGCGGTCATACAACAGGGATTATCAATGATATAAAGTCTCTGCATGAGAGTTCTGAGTCAATCTACCAGATTACTTCAATTTGAAGGAAGATTAACTTTGTCTTCGTTCATGTACGGCGATAGAAAATGACTAATTAACCGCATCATCAGGCACTGGTCGAGATAAATCAGGCAAATGGTGACGACTAACTGCATAGTGTGGCTTGGGGGCATATCGTTTAAGGAAAGAAATACAGGCCTGTATAGCAACCACAGCATACAGGAAAATGTTGGATCCTAACAGGTTTCATCACACGTTAAGTCTTATTACTACCAGCGTATTTGGGCCATATCAACTTTAAGGAATGAAATATAGGCCTGCATAGCAACCACAGCATACAGGCCAGGGCCTATACTTTCAAAAAAGTTAAGAGATCATAAGTCCATGAGCCAATCATTGACGGCCTTTCAAGCCAAATCCACCAATCATAGACAAGAAAATAGAGCGTAAGTACTTACGTTCACTTAGCGAGTTTTGAAAGTATGGCCCCAGGGTTGTATCCTAACTGATTTCATTACACTTTAAGCCGTATTTAGTCACAGGTTAGTTCACTTACAGGAATTTCAGGAGCGTAGGGCGTGACGATGGTGTGCGGGACGTGGGCCACTTGGCCACGCGAGTTGCCGCACTTCCACCACTTCCTGCTGTCGTCGATCACCTGACATGTAAGAGAGCATTATAATGATCATAATTAGTGCTGGGAACTATAATATATTGTATTATCATAATAACCAGACTAAATTGTCGGGCACTGCGCAAGAAGGAATTGTTAAATCAGAACATTATACCTACCGCCTTGCCGTCCTATTCTAATCTTGTCACGCCAAATGCAGATCACTATTTTAATAGATTAACAGTTGAAATAGAAAGATAAGTATACTCGTCTTCATTGTTGTCTTGAAAACCAGTTTCACATGGCATGGCATAAGCTCTACACTACTACATAGGTACGTATATGAATTAGCTACATGAGCATCTGTCGTTGATTCAATGCTCATTCATTTTCATAAATATGAATTATAATTATTGATTTCTAAAATTGCGGGCCAAAGACAAAGACTACACATTATGAGTACATTTACTCACACATTTTACGGTATCTTTGTCTCTACTCAAAATTTTACTGTAATACCTGTAAGGTGTATTTATTGAATTTAAAATTAACTTAGAAATTCGATAGTTTCAGATGATGCCAATACAGCCATATTCTTCCCTTGTTTTCGATAAAAATCTATTTCTGACCCACGATAGATCTTAGACCAGCATCTATAGGTCATCTTCAAGTTTGCGGAACTCAACCAACTCCTGGACCAACATCAAGTAAAAAAACATCTTAAAGTCTAGGGAACTCGACAGACTCCTTAATTGACCAGCATCTGGAAACATCTTCATGACAAGGAAACTCAACTGACTTTTAGGCCAGCATCTATAGGTCATCTTCAAGTTTGCGGAACTCAACCGACCACTAGAGAGCAGCGAGAAAATTAAATATCTTCAAGTCTGCTGAATTTAACTGACACATGTATCTAAAAAACATCTTCAAGTCTGTGAAATTCAATAGACTCCTAGCCAGCATAAAAAATCTACCAGTCTAGGGAATTCAACATACTCTTAAACCAGCATTGGAAAAACGTCTTCCAGTCTGGAAGATGACCAAATCAACTGCTGGGAAGATCAACTGACTCCCAGCCAGCATCAAAAGAACATTTTCAACTCTGGGGAACTCAACTGACTTCTAGACCAACATAAAAACATCTTCAAGTTTAAGGACAGGACTGACCTCAAGTAACTCGCCCCTGACGACCGTAAGCTCCTTATCGTTGTTGGCGGTACGCGGGTACGTCACTTGCACGATCTTCGCCCCGCGCGAGCGCAGCTCGTTTATCCACAGCTGGCCGCTGCTGCCCTCCGCGCCGTACGCGCTCTCGCTGCCGCTCACCTCGCTATAGTCAAAACAAATTATTTCATTGATGTACGGCAAAACTTTTACAACTCTGATGTAGTTACAGTAAAAACGGAGAGGCTCTCGCTACCGTAAGCGCTCTCACTACCGCTCACCTCGCTATAGTCAAAACAAATTAATTCCTTTATGTACGGCAAAACTTTTCAAATCTGTTGTAGTTACAGTAAAAACGGAGAGGCTCTCGCTACCGTACGCGCTCTCACTACCGCTCACCTCGCTATAGTCAAAACAAATTAGTTCCTTTATGTACGGCAAAACTTTTCAAATCTGATGTAGTTACCGTAAATTTGCGGTTTCGCGAATAACTTTCAGCGGTACACAAATAACTAATAGCCTAAAAAGTACCAATATTTGCTGGTATAGAAACATTCTTACCTTTCTGAGAATGGAGGAGGACGACCATAGCGCTCCGGCGGCGGCGACACGCCGTGCCTTTTGCTTTGATAGAAGTCGTCAAAGTCCTGGAAAATAAAGACAGGTAATTTTGTATTTGCCAATCAATTCATACAATTAATAAAGCATATTTTCAACTTTAACGGTTACAATGAAATACTTTATTTCGAGTGCAAATTTCCAGAATTTTTACAAATCTGGGAATTCATTCGGCACTTGCAATACGTTACAGATGCATCGTTAAGAAATTTTAAAATTTAAAATGTAAGAAGGATAAATAGGCATTTAGCTCATCGTTCACATTGGGATGACTCAGAAGTGACATTCATCTAATTTTAAGGAAACAGGCCTCAAAATAATTTTTAATACGCAGGCCTAACGCTGTATTCATTCAAACTATATCAGAGTTCCAAAGATGCAACAAAATTTACTGTAGACAATGAAATCGGTGGTTCGGGCAAGAATAATGTAGCAGCAAAATGAAACACACTGGACAGAAAGTAGGCTGTATGTTTACCTCTCTGTCCCTGGGCCGGTGTTTGTGATCGTGTCGGTGGTCGCGAGGCTCATCCGACAGCTCTGGGGCCCAGCCCGACGAAAACACTAGTACACATCGCAATAATTAGCGCAATCTTTCATTGTAGGGTCTTTCATCTTTATTAGCCTGTACTCGAATATTTGTTATTTGGCATTATAGGTATAACCGCTCCAACACTTCCCGATAGGTACGAGTATAATTCACAGTCGGATTAATTTGTTCCGAAACAGTTCATGTCGGAATGTGGTACAAACAAAATTAACCTAACCTCCCAGATCGGTGTTTGGAAACTCATGGGGAAATAAATCATTACAACCCATGGGGAAAAAAAATCACTACAATTATAGGGAAATATAGTTCACTATAAAGTAAATCCAGCAAATAAACTACTAGGCAATAACTCACTGGGCTGGTACGGTGGCACGGGATACTTCCAGAGCTCTCTGGGTATGATCCAGGCGTCGCCCATGGACTGCCAGAGTTCCGTCTCCCGAGAAGACAGGCAGTTCGTCAACAGGTCAACTGCGTCTTGCGTCAGCAGCGGGGATACAACCTGACACAAATACATCACTTATATTGTAGCGGTCCGACTTTCTGTCGTTCGCGCTCTTCTTCTTTCTTTCCGACGCATTACTCGGAGCTGAAATTGGGCATGAGCCGGGGTTGGCTCACTCTCGATTGAGCCGCCTGCCTGGGCGGGCGTGGCTGGACACAGTTGTTGGTCGGCAAGGATATGCCTTTGATGGACCTACGATGCTGCCGTCAAGCATTCATTTGAACCAGAGTTCTTGTATTTTGATTACGTCATTCGTCGGCCATGGACAGGTGCGGCTGCAGGCAATCGGAGCTACAGTACCAGTCTCAAGACGGTAACGCTTCCGGCGCTGTACGTCGCATGGACTTGGTCGTTGTGAACATTTGTCTTTCCACTCGTGTAATAGTGTTGAAGGAAGCTGCAACTTGTTCGCAACGTCGGAAAAGTGTCCCGGCGTAATCTCTCGGCAAGCACTGCGCTCCTCCGCTAGATTCACACACTTTGAATTTATTTGACTTGGACGTTTCTTCGCTAAACTGTGATTTCCTCTATACGATAACGGATGGGCCCAGCTACATCTAGTGTTCTTTAATGTTCAACTGTTCATTTTTGGTCTGGTAGCCATCTATGATTAGTGATGTACCTCTCATGAAGTTGCCTGTTCATTTATATACATTGCTTACTAAATATATAGTTCATGCTTTCATTTATTTTGTTTGTTCATTCTTTCTAACTATCACGTTGGGGTAGCCCATATGTGTTGCCCCCTCTCCCGCAACAATATCTTAATACATCACTTATATCTTATGACGCAATGAGCGTCAGCAGCGGTGATACAACCTGGCACAAATACATCACTTATTTGTAAGGCTCAGCGCCCTCGCACTTGTGCCGCCACGTGTCTTGTATGGCAGTATCTTATATCTTAATACATCACTTATATCTTAATACATCACTTATATCTTATGACGCAATGAAGAAACGGGGAAGTAGATAATACTTAAACACGAGAAAATGAGAAATGCAGAATAAAGCTACAAGTTGAACTGCCTATAGAGATCCTCTATGTCACGAAACTGTAACTCGATGAATTTTTTTAATTTAAATATTTGTACTTTTACACATGGAGATGAAAACTGCGCGCTCAGAACTGCTCAAAATGTGCAACTTGTCGAACAGAAGTAATCAATGAGTATTAATCGAGACACTAAAGCAAGGAATTTAAAAGCAAAGAAAACGCCAAGAAAATTCACCATATCGATATTAAAAACGTTTCGGAGTCCAGCTCCATCGCGAATTTGCTTGGCGTTTTCTTTGCTTTTAAATTCCTTGTGAACTTGCGATATAAGCAGACTAATAATATAAGAAACTAAAGCAGACACGTAAAATCTCACATATACGATAAGATTATCTAACTATTGCATTAAAACCAACGGTCAACGTATCGTAATGTACACAATTATATATGAAGTTTACCTTGGCGGGCAAGTTGGTGCCGTAGTTCGAGTCCCTGGAGGCATCAACGATGAGCGCAAGCGGCGTGAATATAAAATGCACCAGCTCAGGAGCATTAGGCTCGTGAATGTACGTGCGAAGTTTTCCCTGGAATATGCAAAGGTTATTCTGAGATGTCATACGTACCATATACGAGCGCAATAATATAAATGCATTGTGTGTTGGCCCTCATATTTAAATATAATTTGTGTTGGTCCTCACTGCAGAACTTTATGAAATTTCAATACTCACGAGCATGTTGAAAGAGAGCTTAAACTTCTGCAAGATCTCGATGAACTCTCCTTCTGGCGGCGGCTTGGCCCTCATGGAGAGGAGTCCATCGTCAACGTCTTTCTTCTTGGACTTCCTGTTTCGGCGGCGATGCTCGAGCTCTTGAGTTGCTGCCGCAGTGTGCTGGAGACGGGCTATGAAGCGCTCGATGTCGTCGAAGCAGCAGTTGACGATAGCCACGTCCTTGCCGAAACTCTCGCTCCCAACGCTGCTTGCATCGTCATGTCCGCTCCCCGACCCGCCTGGACCCATCGCTCCTTCGTCAACGCTCGACCGGTCCGAGCGCGGCCCCCGGGCTGGGGATCCGCGCATTGGTGGTTCCACTGCGCGAAAAATTGCGTTACAGGCGAACCTATATTTCTGAATATGTGTCAACATAAACTTAGTTGAGCAGTGCGACATTTATTCAGGACGGAAAAAATTCAGGACGAAAAAGTTCAGGACAGATAAATATGGAAAGATACGGAATTGAGCGATAAGTTGTACAAGCCAGTTAACAAATGCGGAATGGAACAAGGAGAAAATTTGCGTTAATTGGCTAATTAACGAAAAGTGCGAATACAATATGCGTCATATGATGACTATAAAACTGACAAATAGAAATGTACTCTAAAACTGCTCAAGTACGAAGAAGCCTAGGATATAATACAATTTTGTTTGGTTAGTTAAATAAAATATTAATTTCATGAATCACACTTAACGTATGAAACGTCAGGTAATTAAAAAATAAAAATTCACGAGTGTGACTTGAAAAATTATATTTTTAACAATAAATGTCAATGAAATGAAATTCTAAAAAGTTGCTTGAACTAAAACGGATATTGATGTACAGAAGATTTAGCCAAGTTCTGACTCACTTTTAAAACACAAATGGGGGAATATATCGAAATAAATATTAGTACAGATTAAAACCATATAGAAATCATGCATAATGCGTTCATCACAATGGTCTCAAACGGAAGCCACATGTCACAAAATACTTGCGCAATCATACGAGAAAGAACCAAATATTGCTTTTTTAAGGCAAGTTCAATTGATTAATTCGTAATCTATAATTATCAAGAATAATTTTAGATATTAATTTTTTATTATACAGGGGTGAACCAGTGATCACGAATTCGTTGAGACGCGATGCTGCAGATTATTTATAAATTTTATTTCTCTGCCCCAGCTCTACAATTATTTTGTTAGGGTTTCTACGTCTCAAGACTGGTCTGATGTTGACGCACTCAACACGGATTTGTGCTAGAAACGCGCATATAGAAAGCGGACAGATTTTTTCGATGGAAAGTAAAACGGCAAAAACCAGCAGTTTACTCGGGCAACAAAATTCTTTATGTGTAGACCTGTGCGGGTTTCCAGCTTATCCCCAGGACAAACAATCAAGTTAGGCCATAAACATTAGTCGACAGTCTTTGGTAGAATACCATTGGGTTCGAAAAAGAAACTTACTCAGACAGTTAATATTTATCAACCATGGCGGGTCCATTCAGTGAGAAATGATGCACAGGTATAGCCAGAAGTACTAATTACGAAAAAAATTCCTGATTACCTGCAATAAATTAGAGATGACAATCTACATCCATTTGGAGAGACAGCACCATGATTCAAGTGGAAGTGAAAGCCATGAAATGTATCAACTCAAAGTCGCCAGTTGATGAAGCAGCAAAAGGGTGAGGCTCTTTGCCATACGCGTTGTGAACCGCAAGACGTTAAACGAACGACCACAACGCGTGGAAAGCTCATCGCTCTAGCCGCACGTATGGTTATATACGGCTGGCTTCACATTGGTCTTTCTGTTGTGCTACAAGCGGACAACCGGAACGTGAAGAAGCATTTATATCAACATCCATCGCTGGCAGAGCTACAAACGCAAAGCGACCAATCTATTCAGGGTTCATAATTATACAGGCGTCCGAGCCGAGACCGTAACACAAATATATCTTCGTAGCGTCTGCAAATGCAGCTGGAACAATGAAAGGAAGAGGATCTATTCGAAACTCTAATGCGTGTCTTCCAATCGGCGAATAAACAAATCCTTCTCCAGATGGGGGAGGAAAAAGTTAGGGAGTGAGGAGTTTAGGTTTTCTATATTGATTGTAAAAAGTGTTGTATCCGAGTCTTAATGTAGAAGTGAGAGCAGTCTAAGAGGAATACTAGCTGCGTTTTTGGCTTACAATAAAACTATCATAACATCATGTAACAACATTTTGCCTCATGAGACATGCAAAAAAAAAATATATATTCAGTCGATGAAAATGCAACAGTTCACAGTTTAATAATATTTTATACATGATATTGAACTGAGAATTGTTCCATTTGGATAAATAATGTTTAAGCAATATATCAATAGGAAAATTTAACTTTTGTATGAATTCTAGAAGGAGAAGATAAAAATTCCTAAGTTATCATTCCACTTATAATTTTTTCAGAGCTTAGCATAGAAATAAGACGCTGGACAACGAAACCGGAATGGGTGCCAGAAACAAAAAAACCGCGTTATTTAAAATCGATAACAATCTAGGGCGCAATACAACATACCAGTTATACACGTTTAACTCAACTTGAAGATCTGTGAACAACTTTCTTATATGACAGAAATCGTCCCCTAAACTTCCGCACGATTCTGATAAATGAGTTTCATACGTAGCACAAAATAGGATAGCGTAAGGGAAAGTGTTAGGGATGTTTAGTTGCGTAATTTACCGGCAACTCAATGACGCGAGCGACCGCAAGCATGACAGTTCATTCCCGCACGGCAGGCTTCATCACAAGACTACCGGGTGAATGTTGTCGTTTACAGGGCTTGACTTTCATACGTTCTTCCTTTAGTTTGTTCTGCCAGTTGGTGCGTTCTTCTGCATTCTCAAGTTTTTGAATGATTCTCGTTTCCTTATTGTTTTCCGACCAAATTCAAATAATTACTGCCCAAAACTATATTATGCAGGGGTGCCGTTTCTTGCATTTTGAGCCTAGAAGTGGAGGAAAATTTGCTTTCCAGCGAAACAACACTTGAAGAATGCAGTAAGAAGTAAAATGAAAAATAGTGTCCTGAAATGCATCCGCATCATGCTGATTCCCTCTTAAGCACATGTACATCGTTCTACCGGAACATAAATGGCCTAATCCAGTTGATTAGTTGTGGTTATTCCTTCAAAATTTCCGCTTTAGTAATCATGTTCACACTCGTGTTGCTCTACCCGGATTGTCAGAGCTACCTTTACTTCCCCCTGTACACGACACACCTGGCATCCCTTTAGCGATTCAAGACAGTAAAATAAACTGTCGCGGTACCTTGGATCTAAATTTCACGGCAATTATGATGTCAATATCAACATTATTGCTCCTGGTTATTCAGCGATATAATGTTGAGAAAATAATTATCGATTCGGACCCGTTTGTCCCATTACGAGAGAGGTTAAATTTAACGTGAAATGTCTAGTTGAACCCCGAGCTCCATGTTTTAATAATCAGTTATAAGTTACAGCAAGTGGACCAATCGGGACCAATATAAACTTTCGAACCATGAACCTATTCTTTAGAGTTAATTATAAATTTGAACGTGGACAAGTAACATTCCTGTTGCCTCCGTTCATAGTCAAACAAACATCGTAATAATAGCCGTACCGCGAGCTTTACATGTTTTTACATGCTAGATCTAGACTGGGAATAAGCACGAAAACTTATGCCTTTGTCAGCAGATGATGAATGGATAACTGAACAGTGTGAGGGTCGATAAAGCGCATGGGCAGGAATTTACTCATTCAAAACCCACAAGAACGTAACTTGCATGGTTCTTTGAAGCCTTTCGTTCTATAATCTTCATTCTAGAGTCTAGAATGTAGTCAGTGGCGATTGAACCACCATTCAATATTGTCGTATCCTAACCTGAAATGGATCATAGATAATTTTCAGACTGAATTTCTTACCTATCTTGGAAGTTGCAGCAGTGGAACGACTAGCAGGGCAACTTTTCATTCCTCGATTAGAATACATTTGGTTCCTGATGCGTGGCACAGCATCTAGAGGAGTAATGTAGTAATGAACGTCCAGGCTCTTGTTAACGGCTTTTATTGCCTTTCTTTCATTAATGACATCTTCACATCCATCATAGTCTTTGGGAGGAACGACACACTCAGACACCTGCTCGTCCACGTATTTTGGGCTGAGGCTTCTTGCCCTGAAATTTTTTAGGCGACGGGAGCTACCAATTAAAGCAGATTCTTCAGAAGAGTCCACTTTCCTGAATGCAATGGTTGAATAAACCAAACCATTCTTTTCAACAGTCTTGATTGTCGTCTTCACTTCTTTGCCAGACCTCCGAGGACTTTCAAATGATGATTTCCGTGAAGAGCGCCGCGCGACATGGTTTATTTTCATATCATTAGTTCTAATCTTACTGGAAATATTTTCTTGAGCAGATTTTACACAAGATCTCGGCATTTCTTGATCGCATTTGTCTTGGAGAATATTGACGTTCCATGATTTTCCATCTCCAGCGTTATGGTGCATCAGCCTTTGTAAAGGCTCAATTTTCTCGCTTGTTTTGAAACGCTCTCTGCTCCTGCTGCTTTGCCGGTGATGTCGTTCGTACTTCGAAGGCGACGAACTACTTCTTCGTCTTCGCGCATTTCCATCTTCATTACGCGACTTTTCCCTAGGCAATCTCCCGCTGCTCGCTGCTCGCCTTCTATAAGTTCCAAATTCAGCATCGTATTTTCTTTGCAACGATAACTCTGCTCGCAGAGCCTCTTGCTTCTCCAGCTCAAGCAGGCGGCGTTCACGAATGTGCTGCATTAAATCATGATGTTGTAACAGTTGTCGTCTCCGTTGTAGTTGTATTTGCTGCTGTTTGAAGTACTGTTGAAGTCTCAGGCGTTGAATCATCTGCAACTGCATCGCATAGTTCATTTGAGTTAGGTCAATATCTGAGTGGAAAAAGTCTGGGTATGAAAGGGAATTTTCATAAGAAGTATCCCTCATATTCGAGGGCGACAGATTTCTGACTTGGAATTGATCGAAACTCTTCAAGTAGTTACGACGAATCATGTCAACATTCTGTAACGCCATTGCGGAAGCCGCTGGAAACGGATACAGCATAGATGCGTCAAGAACGGATTTTGAGCGATTCATTTTTCTTGGCACAAATCGACGATCAGACTGAGCTTTCTTCTTCGCCAGGTGCAAATCCGACTTAGTTTGTTTCAGGAACTCCTCAGAAGGAGAGTCTGACTTATGATTCTCATCAAAACTGATTTCTTTTTCGGACTTTTGCATAGATGAATCATTGACAATGAATGGATCGGGGGAAGCAAATTCAGGA